CTGGCCTAGTTGTTGCATTTCAGTTTGCATATTTAAGCAACAGTAAATACAATAACCTTTCAAAATATCTGTACAAGTAGCAACCCAGCTTACAAACAACTCATTTCTACACCTCATCATTAGGAAGACAGTAAAATATAAGTTTAATATTCTTGTGTTTAAAATCCAGGCTACTACTGGTAGTAGTTTGTAATGTAGCAGTTTTTACTTTCTTTTTTAGTATCCACATACTGCTAGCAAACTTTGTTCTATTTCAGATATACCAGATATTATGTGTGGCAAATATCAATCTTCCAGGAGACCTTAACAGAAAACTATTGTGTTCATCTCCAGTTACGCTCTTTCATTAGCTAAGAATTAGAGGAAGGATCTTGCTGTTAGAGTATTAACCTTCATACAGTTCAGAGTTTATTGCCTTAATTAGAGATTACTGCATCAATTTATTTTGCTTACCCTCAGAACAGAGACTTCTGCAGGCTGATGCCCTCTTAACTGCCCAGCGCTGCCAGGTTACAGGGCCCTTGCCATTCTCCTCCCACACACGTGGAGCTACTTGCGAAGTAAGTCCTTCTTTGGCAGAAAGCTGCACAACACGGGATCAGGGAGAACAGGCTTGGGATTGTGCTCCGAGCTACTGCACTTTAACAGGTGTAACAGGCCCCTTGCTACTCTTTCAGGAAACCAGTCTTAAATACCTACTTGTAGTGCCACTAAAACAGGGGTGTGACCTCTTTGGGTTGGCTCTGCTCAGCATTTTCAGCTTAAGTGCTTTGGGAGGTGATAGGGAATGGTTCCCATAAGGTCATTTTTTAAGCTGTCCTCACATGAATAAGGAGTTAAGAGTGTACAGCAGTAGACAGTATTATTCATGAGGTACTACATAAAACAAACTATAAACTTAAAAATCACTCTGCTACAGCATGTTATTCTAGGGTGCAAGATGCAACCACTAGGTTGAAAAACAAGCATGGCAGAACTTCTGCAGTTGCTCCTTTCCATCAGAGCAGATGGAAGCACGTGGTTATGACAACGCAAGCAGTGTTAATTGCTATGGAACCTTTTAATAACATTTTTGTTCCCCCAGCGTAATATGCAAATTCTAATGTGCTTCTTGACAGCATCATTAATGCACTTGTAGGAAGTGTAGCTTATTGTAATGTTTACAATGCTACTCTATAAACTACTGCTGTCCCATGGTTTTAAGGGCTGCACATCCAGTCTGAAGAGTTTTGTCAATTTTTTATCTACATGGAAGAAGTATTTGAATCTTAGCTGTAGCACTTTACTTGCATTGATATCACCGCCGTGCCCAGCGAGACTGAAGCAGCACTCACCTGCATAACAGGGTACCAAAAAGACAAGGAATACTTTAAAATTGAGAGAACTCCGACACCTCCCAGTAACTAACTGCCTTAAAAATCAAACGTAATTTCAACCCAGTGATGTGGAAGGCACATGGTGTTGCCTATGTGGTGAAGCTTTTTCATACAGAGGGGACAGGCTCTTAATAAGAAGGCTGAGGTTCTGATCTAATCATTCCGGTTAATGTTTAAATATAGTTGGAATGAGAAAGCAGTTTTCAGGCCCTGAGCAGAGAATGAGGGCTCTATCCTGGAGCCTTCTTTCAGTAAGGAGATGCATGCCTGTGCTTTTGGACAGGGAAGTGAAACTGAAGCTTCCCCCAACGAGGGGAGTACTGTAACCACACAGCACTGTTTCGAGGTGCCTCTTCCCTTCCTGGCTGTGGGCTGCAGATTTTTTATGTATCTCATTACACTTATTGCTCAGTGTACTGATGCCTGAAACGATTTCCAATAACCTCTCAAGCAGATGCATTGAGGACTGGAACTACACCAGGCAGTGGTGGGATACCAGGGTCCTTTGAGAGTAGTTTTAGACAGGCCAAGAGCCCCTTTTACCAGCAACAGCAGCAAGCAGGGGTAGAAGTTTAGTACATTTGCAATCCCACTTATCCTTGCTACAGCTGTGTCCATGGACATCACTACTTATTGCAGTTTTCACTGCCACGTCTGTCTAGTTTTGCCTGCCTGAAGAGCCGCTCACCACTAGTTTAATAATGCCTCTCTGATGCTAGCAGCTTGATGCCTCCAGCAGAGTCCTGTGTTGTATCTCAGTCCTAAGGGACTACACGTGGATTCCCTTAAGCTGCTGCAGCATTAGTAGTTCCATCTGTACAATTTTAGCACCAAAGGTGAGACGCCCTACACCTCACCCTATCTTGCAAATGGAGATCTCTTTTGTGCTTGCTGTAGCAGGAAACAGTTTGTATTTCATAAAATGAACTGGGCAACCCCTCGCAAAGACTACAATCCACCGTGAAGGAAAATTGGGAAAGAGCTGTGCTGCCGAGATTTGAACTGAAGCACTAGAGGTGGCAAGATGCTTGTTTGATCACATTCAGAGCGTTTAGAATGGGCAACAGGCACTTTACCAGGAGATGTAGAAGTTCATTTTGAGCCATACGCACATATTCTTGCATAGGGAGTAAAGTCAAGGCACCGCAAGTCAGAGCATGCATCTTATTCTAAAGATTTTTGGTTTGAAATCAAGACTTTGCTGGTGGAAGTTTATGGAGTCTTTATATCCTTCTCCTCTTGATACTGCTCTCATTGGCCTCTTCAGTTTCTGTACCTTAGGTATTTGCTTAAAGAAAATGTAGCACAGCCTAAGTGGTCGCCCTCTGTATTTTTACTATTAAATGTTTGCCTTATTTCTACTGAATTTACTCCTGTCCTTACCGAGGAAAACCACAGCAACCTACTTTACTCATTTCAGAAGCCCTACTCTTTTCAGTCATTCCAGTTTGGGGGTGGAAATCATAGTGGAACAGCAAGCTTAGAAACAGGCCTGCCACCAGGAAGATTCCACCTGGCAGTGACACGCAGCAGTACTGCTTGGTGACAAACACACACAGTTCTTTAACTTCCAGGACAAGAACTACAGCACGCTTCAAAGCAAGAGCTCAACAAGAGCTACTTGTCACACCACACCTCACTACCTCAGTCACCCTGCAGCCACACAGAACAGTCTCCACCAGAGAACATCGCTCCCTCTGGAACCCCAACTTCCCCTCTTAATGCACGTAGAAGGTTCAGAAGCAGCAGCAGCCACCACTGTGCCACACGTACACCCACACAAGCAGCAGAATATGCCATTTGGGACCCTTTATGAAAGAAAGCTGATCAATGTACTCTGGCTAGTAAGTTTATTACCTTTTTCCATCTTACTAGAACACATCTTTGTTAAATCTTAAACGCAGCTTTCCAATAGAATGTAAAAACCCTTAGGTTTACTATGCAAGGGAAGAAAGGGAAAGGCTAGTTCTAGGTCAAAGCCTTTAATATTTTTTGTTTCTCCCTGCATCAGTTGTGCAAATTACACTCAAATCCTTTTCTCCCTCTGCTTCTTGCCTCTGGAAAACAAACAAACACACATAAGATGGTTTTAGACTGTTCAGTAAGAACTTAGCCATACCCCTCAACATCTGAACATCTCTCTAGTAGCTTACTTGCACCTTCAGAAAGAAGCATTCTTCTGCAGAAATACATGAACACTGAGGCTTAAAAAAGCATGTGGTTCTCAGGAAATGGCTTGTAGCAATGCTTGGACTTGCTGTCCAAACAGCATTACAACAGGAATTTATCAACAGAATCTGTGCTGCAATTGACTTTGCTCAAAATTAAAATTAATACCATAGTGGAGAACTTAGTTCTGAGAAAGCAGCCACTAAGAGCCCCAGACATTCCTTTACCAGTTCAATTGTCTCAGCTGTCTCTTCAAAATGTGTTCCTTACGTTACAGATTCTCTGCTGGAAAGGTTGTAACCAAGTTAAAAGTCAATATTAGGATGACGTGATTCTGCTAGTGTTAAGAATAAGTGACATTAATACCTTTATATTTACAGGAACACACACATACACAGATGAAACACAGAAGCATCAAACTTAAAAGAACAGACAAGACTTCTGTTTCCTTTTTTCAATTTTTTTTTTATTTGGGAAAAGTGCTTCTTACAAAAGGCAGCTGCAAAACAATACGTTATAGACCTCAGAACAATTTCTCATTCCATTTAAAAGTGAAAGGAGAGGCAGTCTAGGGGACAAGAGCAGCAGGAGAACAGATCACGGGGCATCCACAAGTCAATAAAAAACAGCAATAACATAACGCAAGGTTAAAATTCCTGTGCTGGGGCTTTGGTGGCAAAGTAATTTCTCAATGCAAATTACAGCCAGAAACTGCATGACTGCCTTTGTAAGCAGTAACTCACATAAAACTGAACAGCTTTACCAGGCAATCTGCCCAACTCAGCTGCAGAGAGGCACATGTACCTCAAAACCAGCTGAGAGGCACAGCAATTTCCTAGCAAAGCTCACGGCTTAAGTGGTTACACCGAGTTCTAAAACTTACAGAGCAATAAAGCTAAAGGGGCCTCTCTGGTGTTCCTCTGACTCCGCCTTGGCTAACCGGATTCCTGCTCCTGGACAACCCTAATCATACACATGAAAGAGAGCTGGTGTACTAGGGAGTGCCATCTATTAAGGTAAGCGATAGTTAAGATCACTGCCACAGACTGGGCTGAGACCACTTAAACCAGTTTCATGTCCAATTGGAGGCTAGATTTCATGCACCAAGAGGGGATGAAAGATGATTTTGTTATTTTTAACTTACACAGAGTCTTCCCATCCTCGAGGTCCAACTCTACATTTACCTGTATATACACATAGAGAGTTCTCCTTTCACAAAGACGTTTTCCTTTCATGCTAAACACAGTAAAAACCCAGAACGTTCACACCTGGTTCTGGTTACACAGTAGTTATAGTAATGTGCAAGTAAACAAGAGACCAAAATCACAAATGAAGACGTGTACATGAGGGGGCTGGAACAGCGCTGATGCCAGAAAGAGAATATTTGTATCCGGCCAGAAGACAGAAATATTGGTACAAAGACAAATGGGGGGGGAAGAAAGAAAAAAAAAAAAAGAAAAAAAAAAAAGGCCATCAGCCAATTTACATCCCCACTGCATGGCCACTGCTCATTTTTGTATCTGGGCTCTTCAAAATGAGTGTGGAAGTCCTGTAAACACTTTAACCCTGGAACTGGGTGAACTCTGCTGGGTACACAGATGAAGCAACGAATCTAAGCTAACTGTTTGACAGTTAAATTCATTTTTACAAAAACTAACATTTTAAAGATTTATTTCTTGTTATTTGTTTAAACAGAGGAAAAACAACACTCCTGGGGTGGGAGGGGATGGGAAGAGACAGACCCTGGGTAAAAGTTATTACAACAGCACCTGGAATTGATTGGCCTGCCTAGGAGAAACACAGGCACTGCCACAACACCACAGGTAATAGCTACTGCCTGAAGCCAAGACGACAGTCCACACGCCACTGACAGGTGCTATAGATCCAAATCATAATAATCTTCCAGCTCATCATGAAACAAGTCCCACTCATCTTCGGAATCTGTTAACTCATCATCACCTCCTGCTGCTAACAGCATAAGCAACATCTCACCAAGCTCAAAGGTCACCACCTCATCCTCATCGGTCTCAAACGGATCACCGTTCTCTCGCTCCTCGATGAATTCCCAGAACCGATTCCTCCGCTGGGCCTGCAAGTGGAACACAAGTATTTCCCCAGATGACAAGGCAGTACAAGGCAGGAGCCCTCTCAGAGGCTGACCAGGTTTGGCCCCCAGCATATTTCCCGACTCGCAAGAAACCACGGTTCTCTTTCGGGGAGATAGTGACCTCCAGGCTCTTACACGCCCTTACTAATGTCACCCAACATTTCTACTTCAGTATGTTTGCGTACTGGGAAACAAAATTATCCCTTCATCTTGGCCTCCAGCATTTACAAACTTGAGACCACCGCCTCCCTCAAATTCACCATTACAGAGGTCTATCAGATATAAACACGTCAACATTTCCCTGTCCTCAAGGCAGGTGATTCAATGCACACCCCTCTTGTGCTCTCTCTGTATAGAAAGGACAAAAAACCAGCAGCACTGACCCGGTATCTACTCGATGTTCCCACTTTGGATCTCTGTGGCTCCTCTCGACGGCCATCAGGATAAGCATGTTTGTAAAAACAGTTTCCTCCAAATGGACAGCTCCCACGGCCTTCGTCAAAATACCTGCATGGCTTGTTGCTGGAAAGGAAAATATCGCAACCCTTACTCATGGCAGACCCCAACCAGGCTTCAGAACTGCATCTACCTGTAGTCCAAAGGGGTTCTCAAGTACCATGTGGAGCTGAAGGTATTTGGTCAGTGTAACAGCTATGCACAGAAATTACGTATTACACAATGTGTGTGGGTAGATGCATGCACAGGGACACCAACGGCTCGCAGCGCACAAGCTCATACCGCCTTACAGCTACACCACCAGAGTTTCGCATAGAGAAGGGACAGACTGAGGTCAAAGAACACAGGACTAGTTTCCCGACTACGTGGCTGCATGCATCTGTGGGCAGGTAGGCAAGGACACACTTCACACGTGGTGGTGGAAAGGGGGAGTGCGAGGGCTTTATGTCAACACCCTTCTTCCCCAGGTGTGCCTTTATCTCTGCAGTCTCAACTTGACCAAAGGCTGCAGTGCTCATACCTCATTGCCTCCTTGTATTTCTGAATGAGTTTCTGCTTCTCTTCCTTCTCCTCCACCCAGTACTCACTTGGAATGACAAAGTTAGATGTGATCCGACATTCTGGGCAGGACCTGGGGAATGAACAGACTGTGCTGCAAAACTCCACATCACAGGGCGCTCTCTCTCCTACATAACAAGTCATGACACAGATCCTTCTTTAAAGATGTATTGTGCCCATACACTTGCTGTATGAGCTTTTCAAACTAGATTCTCTCTTATGCGGGAAAATAACCTAAACTCTTAAACTCTCTTCTTCAAGACCTCAATGGCAGCTGGTCAGCTTATATTAGAAAAGCTTGAAAAAACACTTCACACAGACTCTTTTTTTCTTTAGAATTAAATAAATTTATTTTGGTTTGATTTCTGTGTTTATTTGATGGGAACTTTGTTTTTTTAGAACAGTCTTTAAATGGAGAAACGCTCTATCAACTGATCAAGGAACTATGGCAGTACTGAATAAAGAAGTGTGTATTCCGAACTGATTAGTCTGTTTTCACATTATTGCCTGGGTGTCCAAGACACAAGCAGTAACCACTGGACAACATGCCACTAAATAAAAATTATTTTCTACCCTTGCCTGAGCTCTGTAAATTTTATCTGTATTAACCAAGTCAGAGTGTAAATGTTATCCCTAACAATTACTTAACTTCCACACTAAAGTTAGTATGCATTTAATGCAGTGTCTGCAGTCTGCATCTGGAAGTCTGTTGCGAGCTGTCACAAGTGACTAAGTTCTTCCATAGTAACAAAGCGTAATCAAAACGGGAAAGTGCCTCACTTTATAATCTTGCTCTCAAATTGTTTAGCACTCCTCCACTTGCGGATGCACTTGAGACAGTAAGTGTGGTTGCAGTTGGAGAGGATCCCAAAGCGGCGCTCACTAGGATTAGCTTTCTCATACACCACCTCCATGCATATCCCGCACACCATGTCTTTACTACGCTGGACGGCAAAGGAAAGCTCCATGTCCTTCTCGTGAGCTTCAATGCAAGACTGAAAAGGAGAGACAAAGAAAACGACTACAGAGACAACTGGTCACCTGGTGAACTCTAAGTTGGTTTTTAAGCTCAGTTTTACCCTGCTGTTCTGCACAACTAAACCAAGTATGATTAAGCTGAAAAATCTTTATCCTCAAAAAAAATTTTGCTCAGATAGTGGGGAATAATCAGTTCGGAGTTCAAATTCCTTTCTTCAGAATTGCTTTCAAACATGAAAAAGGCAATCTGAAAGACCATCCAGTTTTACTACGCAAAGAACAAAGCTTTAGTATCTTTAAGCAGACTGCCCTCCCAGCATAGATAAGGAAACCCAGCTTTTGAGTATGGCCCTGACAGGAAACAGTCCAGTTTACAACAGGAATTTCATTCACTGCCTGACCTGCATGCTCCTTCAACTGAAAGGGAATTAGTGACAAGTGATTGTGGGGAGCTAGGAAGCAATAACTGAAAGCTGTTGTACACCAAACAGTTGTTTGCTTACCTTTATGTGCTGGGACCTCTGCGCAGCATCGATTGGATGCAAGACCTGCAGTCCGCACATATCACACACATCCCCATGGATATACACGCAGTTTTCTCCGTAACGACACTCTCCTACTGCAGCATAGGGGCACAGCTCCTTCTTCATCTCCACATCTACTTGCTGCTTTTCATATTCTTCCTCAATCACCATTTCCTGCAATTCCTGCAAGGGTGCTTCAATGCAGGAAGGAGCAGCTGGCACAAAATTAAAGACAGTAAAAAAATACATTTAGATTTAGAGCACTGGAAGTTAGAATACATTGGTTTAATGCAAAGTTATCTTTGTATAACCCTGCTCAAGTTGTCCAAAGCAAATAATAAAAGCAACCAAGGTTCCTTTCAGTCTAACTTTCACACACTCTGAACTGTTATTTTCCCACCCAAGAAAGCACAACAAATTTCTTCATCCTTCAACCCAGCCGCCAAGACTAAAGCCATCAAGGTTTCAGTGCTCACACTCAAATCCATTTACAGGCTAGAGCCTGCACTAGAAAAATCTCTCCAGTCCTCAGCAACTGAAGTACATTTTTATATAAATTCTGGTTCAGAAACAATTAAATAAGCTTACAGATGTCTCACAGCTTTGAGAATAAATTTCACACATCATCTACAGTTAAACAGGCTTTTTTCCCCCGAGATTACACAGCTGAAGCAAGAAAGGTATATCCAGTGTAATAGACTACTAGTATGGAAATACCACACCAGCAGATCCTGATGTGCAGGTTTATTAGGATGTTGTTTTCAGCCTGAACAACAAGAGTTTCACTTCTAGACTCAGACTGACTCAATTCTAAGTATTTGCCAAAAATCCAACCCTAAACACACATCCAAGTCTATCAGTCAAACATGTAAACGTAGCTTTAAGAAACTCAGATATTTTCACTGCGCTCTAAGCTAGCCATCAGTTCCGCAAAATCCTAATTCCCTTACCTGATGCTCAACTGAACTGAAACGTGTAACACTTCCCCATTTAGACAGCTGCTGCTTAACACTTCTCCCTGTATCCCTTCAACATAGGCTTGTCTGTGTCACCACATGCCACACAGCTTTTTGAGATCATTACATAAGTAGAATGATAAACTAAGTTAGAAGACAAAAGCAGGCAGTTTGAAATTGGAACTAAAATAACCACGGGGGACAACAAAGCATTACTATATTCAGAATAGGCACCAGGGAGAACAGCAACTGGACTTCACTTATATAACCAGTAGCTGTTACAAGTCATATACACTATAAGGAAGCATAATTTCCATAATCCATTCAAACACTAGATTTGCAAAGTAGGCAAAAATCATCAAAGGCATACTTGGATCAATGAAAGTAAAGGACAGACAACTCCTCAAAAAGAATCAGAGCCCCTCACACCCATAGTTTTCCTCCCCATGGAGAAAAGAGATGCAATAAACACATATCAGCTTGTTAGCTTTCGGACGTATAAAAAAAGAAAGAAAAAGGTCCCCGAGAGTTCAGTTTTGGAGGAAATGTAAATATTGAATATTTAGTATAGGAAAATATTAGCTCTCAAAATACGTTCAAATCTGCTTTTTGAACGACCTCTGACTTTAGAGGTCACTCACACTAACCTTGGATCAGTCTGTTTACTAGAAATACACTTTTTAAAAGGGAGCAACAGAGCAGTAAGTCAACATAATATAAAAATTTGTAGCTATTAATCGAAATGCCTGCCTTCCACCCCAGTTCAAAATCCATGCTCTCCACTTGGAAAACCAAATAAAAATAATAAAAAAATAAAAACCCCTCTCAACTACCAGATAGTTTCTATTCCCTCAACTGTCACCTTTGCCAATGTTTTTTTCTAGTTAATGCTGTTACAGATATCTTTTTTACTTAATTGATTCATATGACTTCTGACATCTTGTCTGACCCTTACTGAGGAAGGAAAGTTTGGTAAATCATAGTATGGATGGGCAGAAGCCTACTAGACAGACAAATACAGCCCAGTTTCAAAGGAATCAAGTGATATAGTACTTCTTTCAATGAGACTCCAAAGATTATCTTTGCTTAAGGCAAGACAATGTTCCTGGAAAATGCATACTTTGAAACAAAAGGCACATTTGAAGCTTCTGTTAAAAGAAAAATTTTCCTGAGTAAAAGAAACCCCCACCAAACCACTTATTACTTGAAGTTCTTTGAGAATAAAGACTTTGAAACCTTACCCCTTCACACACTTAGAAACCCATTTATTTACTATGCTGCTGCATGAAAGGAGAGAGCAGGGCTTCATATCTTGGCACACAAGAAGTGCAAAGTGGTTACTTAAAACAAACTATCCAACAACAACAGCTACCTAAGTCAACACGCAAAGTACACAGTACAGCTACCAAATTCCAGCCCAGTCCACAACACCATCATTGCACAAAAAAGTACAACCAGTTCTTAGTGACTAAACGTCTAGGCAAGATATAGATCTATGAATGTCAGTCTTTAATAACAGCTCTGGGTACCCTCTTTACAGTATGAGAGGGTGGGAGAGGGAAAAATAAGTCAAAAGGGACATCAGTTTTCCAGTCTTGGTCTTCAGCACTGTCCCAGCACTTCCCCTCAGTGACAGTTGTATTTCTCTGAAATAAAAATTAAATTTCTACTTCTGAGTGTCTTCCATAACCTAAAGCACTGCATGCATGCCTCCATGTCTGCTACCATTTTGCTTCCTCTTTGAAAGCAAAATTAGAGGAACTCACAAGATTCCATTGCCTCAGGAATTCTGAAGGAGCATCCCTCATAGAGTAACACTTTCTGTTGCGATTCTGCCTGCTGTTTTCAAAACCACTAGTCTCCAGTAGGTGGACTCAACCCCTATCTTCTCACTGCCCATTTCACAGTCAACTAGGTTAAACTCATACTCGTTGAAGAACTAGTCCAGCACCTTCAATTCACACACCACCTGCTTTCACTCTAGGACACACTTTGTAGCATCAGATACATTCATCTTGTAGCAGCAGGAAACAGCCACCTAATTCAGAGCAGTTCTTTTATTTCTGTCTTTCTAGTCTCCCTCGATTATTCCAGAACATCTCGCAGCAGCAGCAGAACAAATACAGAAATGTGGTGCATCTCTACAGCAAACAAGTGAATATCTGAAGATTCATCATCATCACCATGTTCTTTGCTAGGCCCTGAGGTCACCTTCAAGATATCGGGTTTAGTCCCAAATCAGACAATGGAATGTCTCGTCTCATAGCAAAAGACGAGCATTACAGCCCAAGCTATGCACGGTGAAAATGCCAACCCTGAATCTTCAGCATTTGACAAGCAGGCTTCTGCTAGCTAATCTTGAGCAATAGGTTCCATTTTCAAGTTTCCGAGTACCTGCACGTTTCTGCGGATATTTGACAAGAATAATCTGTAAGGCTTTAAAGTATAATGTGGAACGTACTGCACACATCCTCCTGATCACAGCAAGGTTCTTCATTTTTACAGCTCAAAAAAGACAGCAGCTTCAGAAAAGTAGTTTTTAAAACACATGTTTTAAGAATTCACCATAAGAATTAGCAATATGTAGCACCGTTCAAAACAGAAACAGCTGAGTACGTTAAAACATTAAAATACATCAAATTCCAAAGGATACAAAACAGATACTTTGAAGTAAGATTCAGAGAAGAAAATTTTATTTAACTTAATCTGTGAGAGACACAAGTTTCCATGGAAAATAAGCCTGACTCCCTAGAAAAAGAAACTGCTTCAACAAACCCGAGTCAAAGGTGTAATAAAATGCTCTTACACTTCAGGAATTTAGGAAAAAGCACTAGCTCCACTATAAGCAATACGGCTGTTTAAAAGGTCTCCAGCTGCTCCAACTAGCAATGAATTGATTCCGTTGTGGGGTCACTCAGCCATTAAGGGGGCTGAAGCCCATGAAGAGAGCCTGAAGAAGCTGGACTTGTTCAACTTAAGGAGCAATCTTATTGTTATCTTCAGCTATCTAATGGAAAGGTATAGAAATAGAATAAAACAGCTCGACTCTTCTCAGATGTGCATAGGACAAGAGACAGAAGGCAATCCAGGGCAGGGAAAAATCCAATTACATACTAGGAAAGAATTCTTCCTTGTGAAAGAAATCAGATACTGCAGAATTGCCCAGAGGTTACGATGTTCTGAACATCACCAAGGACAGAGATTCAACTAAACGAAGCCCCTGGCAACCTGACATAGCTGCTTTGAGCAGGAAATGAACTAGATGAAAGCCAGAGGTCCCTTCCAATCTAAATGATTCTATTTTGATTGAAAGATTAAAGATATCCTTTGTCTCGATGAAGACAGAAGTCATATCTTTTATGACAGTGAGGTGACATATTAACAGGTAGAAAACAAGTTTTCATTCCTTTGGACTATATCCAAGTCACAGATACACTAAGCAATTCCATAATCAAACTTTCAAAACCAGCAAAATGTGAATGTTGCTCAACGATTCCCTTCCTCAAATCAGATCAGACTCCAGCAGCACCCTGTACCATTGAGAAGGTAATTCCTCTTTTCAGATCTGAGAATCTGAGTAGTGCTGTGGAGACAAAGAAGAGTAATCCAAGCACTCTGACACAACTTCAAACTCTTCTGGACACAAAGTGCAAATTCTGGATTCAAACAATTATTTGAGCATTCATGATCATAAGCCTTTAGCTTCAGAGAGCTAAATATTAGAAATTATGTTAAACACATTTGGCCTACTATTAAGTCTTTGTGCTATCTTTCTACAGGGAAAGCAGGTGAGAATTATACTACTAAAAACAGTCTAATTCCATATGATGAGCTTCTTTGAGATGAGCTGTCACAGTAATAGAAAGTCAAGTCTCAGGAAGGTAACTAGAACAAATTCTTTTCAGCCTCTGGCCCAAATTGCCCTGTAAATCATGAAAACAAGCATTAGACTTCAATTCATTCTACCAGAACCTGTACCTCAACTAGAAAAACCTTTAAAAAAATTCTTAAGGAAAAAAAAACACCCACAAAAAAAGTCAACAAACAAAATCCCAAACAAACAAACAAACCAAGGCCCAAAGGGCAGCAGATTTTCTTTCCGGAGTGGTGATATTGTGTCACCAGTATTTTTTTTCCTCCCATCACATACAAAAAACTAAACTTGAAAGGAGATTCACTGAGTCGTCCAGAGCCATAAACGAGGATGTATCAGTTGTACAGAGGCTGTCTTTTAGTATACCTGGTCTCAGAACAGCAGCAGTAACTGAGGTGGAATAGTTCAACTATTCACATCAGAAAATTCAAACATAATTTAAGCATAGATCACTTGAAGCGATTATAAAATATAAGCAGCTGTACCCAACAAAAGTATTAAAATAAATGCACTACATGTAAATTGTTGATCCATGCCAGAAATATACTGTTATCCCATGAGCAGCTTACCACGTCCACAGTATGGCTGCCCAGGGACAAACTCTACAGCATTCACCCAGTCTTCAGCTCCTATTCCTGCAGCTGCCAGATCAATATTTTCATCTTCTATTTCATCAATAATTTCTTCAACTGTTTCAGGGAGCAATGCGTAGTCTGAGGATACTGAGGGATAAATTGTTTCATCCAGGTTCACATCAGTTTCTTCTTCTTCTTCTTCTTCTTTCAGTGGCTTGGTATGTTCATATCTAAAAAGTTGAGACACATATGTCAACTCTTAAAAAAACCACCAAACCACAGAATAAACAATCAAAACCTCCATAAAGCAGCTCAAGGGATTGAAAATAAACTCAATGAGATGCAAACACGCTATTCTGAAGAAGAACCTAGAAATGGCTTGAAGAGAAAGTCACTGATGACCCGTTATAGAGATGTGAACCCACATGTGTCACCTGTCAGCACGGCTTAAAGAAACAGAAGGTACTCCAAGATTATGAAGCAGCATGCACAATTCTTAAATTACATAGAATACACTCCAATTATGTCCTAAATTGGTCACGTACCTATTATACGTGTGCAATATTACCGAATGAGACAAATAGTTCATTCAGTTTTTAAAAAAAATACTAATGGCAGATACTGCCTCATGGGAGCCCACAGGAAAGATGCAGCCAGTCTTCTCAGAGGTGCAGCCATCAGATGGCAGCCAGGAGACACAAGTCCAAAATGGGAAGTTACAATTAGATACCAGTGGAAAATAAAAATCACTGTGAGAGTAGGCCAACACTGGAACGGGTGCCCAGAGAGGCTGCACAATCCTCATCCTTGCACACAATCAAAATTGACTGGGAACATGACGTAAGTTGTCTCTGCCTTCGGCCTGGCTCCAGAGACACCTACCAACGCATGTGATTTTTTTCCTGTATCTGAGCAGGTTTTACACTGAATTTTCATAGTTATTTCTAATGCCTCTTTCCACCTACTGTGGGAAACAATACTTACAACACTTTGATCCATACCACTCACAAATAACAGGAAAGCATCATTTCCTATATTCCAGCAATTAGTAGACTACATGGGAAAATAAATTCCAGGTGTACCTTTGAAGTGTTAGATATTTGCTGACTACTTTCAAGGACAAAGTGAACGAATTTTCAGAGATCATACAAGACTTTTAAACAACTGTGATTCATTTACCTCGTGTCAGAATGAAAACAAAGTGTCACAGTTTTTGCATAATAAAGAGATCCTCCCAAATAACTGTCAGCTCCCAAATCCTAAGGAAGCTATAAGGCATAAATTTAAAGGTCAAGCCTCTAAGGCTTCTACACCCATGGTCCCCCAAATTGGTACGCATGCACCCTAGGGAGTACGCAAGACAATCCACTGGGGTGCAGGGAGAAAATGCTGAGTTCTTGGGGTTTTGTTGTGTTTTGGTAGTTTTTTTTAAAAAAAAGGTGAAAAGTTTTACTAATATTCAATATACAGTGGTGTCCTCACTTGGTCCATATGTCAGAGGCTCCTAGTTATGGTATGCACAAGGTGTCCTGAAGGAGGAGCGGGTGTTCCACCACACAGCAGGGTCAACAGTGGCACTCTCACTTGTTCATTCACTTTCATCATATTTCAACACACCAGCTACTTTGTGTCCAATTAAATAGATTGACATATTATCTTTTTTTTTTTACCTAAATGAACTCTGACAAAATGAACAAGTGGCTTAAAAAGATTCCTGCAAATAAACTGTAGACTGAGGACAATACTGACAATGTCAGAACTAACACTTCTACTATGTATGACCTCTTCATTACAAGGCAAAGACAATTTCAGTTTCATCAGATCTGACAAGAACTTGGGGGAGGAGGGAATAAATAAATCAAGATTACCAAGACTATTCAAAATACATATTTACATCCACTCTTACTAACGATGAACCTCATCCTCAGTGTATTCTGTTTGCCTTGAGATACTAGGCTAATGGAACATGCATCCATCACAATTAGCAAGATGTTTAAAATCTGAATACTCAGAACATGAAGACAAACGTCTTCGATTTTTTTCAGAGATCTTTCACGTAATACAATAATCTAATCCAATACTTTTCAAAACTTTACAATAAATATTCAAAAGCCTTTTTTGAAGCTTCTTACAAAACAGTGAAAGACAAAGTCATGTACCACTGGACCACTTGTTCTCCTTACTAAAAATGACAAATAACACATGGAAAACAATACGGTGATGAAGCAAAACACGTTGTCAGCAAATACTGCTGGGCAACGCCTAGAAAGCACTGATGAAGATTTGAAGAAACAGGTATCAGAACAAATTTCAGTGTGGGAAGTTTGCTGTACAGCTGGATGAAAGTACAGATGTTTCTAACATATCTCAGCTTATGATACTCACTAGATCTGTTTCAATAACGAAATACCTCAAGAACTACTTTTTGTGAGCCACTACCGGAAGAAATATTCTCAAGAAATGACTTCTTTAACAGAGACAAAAAGAAGTATTGGAGGAGATGTATTCTCTACAGCAAATTACCTCTTTAATAAAAACTAGGTTTCACAGAAAAACTGTGCAAGTGTAATCACTGATGGAATTGTTACCTTGACTAGAATTAAAAAAAATTTTAAAAAAATTATTCCAGAGTAAGGTCACAGAGATAGCATCATATGAAAAATCACTCACTGCATCATTCATAGACAAAGTATGTAGCACAAACGGAACCAGAATCACACAAAGCACTACAGAGAACCATGAATATAGTTAATTTTATAAAAACAAGACCTTTAAATAGTCAAATCTTTACAATACTTTGTTACCACATGGAGACCCAACTTGAAAATCCTCTGCACCACACAGAGGTTTCCTGGTTAGCTGTAGTAAATCCCTTTAAAGTTGCCAAAGATGAGTTACAGTTATCTTTCACAAAGAGTCAAGTGTTCCAAATTTGCTGACCTTTTCCCTGATGATAGTATTTTAAGAACAAGTAACTGCTTTTTGAAAGAAAGCTGCAGCACAGAGGCATCATTTTGAAAATGCTGGTCCCAAAAAATTTCCACCAGTATAGAACTTCGTTACAAAGAAAAAAAAAAAAACGCAAGTGTGTCAGCTATAAAAGAAACTCTCATGTCTCATACACATAAGAAAACTTGAAAACAGAATTCTCTTAACGTATTTAATACTTCCAAACAAGAGTTTCAGGGGGGTTTAGACTCATTTGTTAAAAATATAAATGTGCAAAACCTTCTAATTAGTCTGCAAGAACACCTGATTGACATCAGGGAAGATAGAAATATACCAGCCAAATTTTAACCAAAAATCTCTGCATAATTGGCGGATGGGATTGAAAAATAAGTATCACACATCAGTAAATACGGCCAACAATACACTTCTTCCTTTTGGATCTACATATCTTTGTGAAAGATCTTTTTCAGTAATGACAGCCGCTAAGTGCTTAAATAAACCAAACTTGGAACAAGACCTTCAAATCGTTGTATGAAAATATGTTAAACTAAGACTTTAAAAAATAATGACACATATTCAATCAACATTTCTGTCAGTAAAACACATTAGTAATAATAGTGCTTTTAGTCAGAGTAAAAACACTTTTTGGACTTGTAATAAAATATTTATAAAATACTGTTTACTTAATCTTTATTACATCCTTTTTAAAATTCTGATTTTTGTCTTTGTTTTATAATGTACATTATGTATCTATTACTGTGCTAATACATTATCTATAAATACATATATTGGGGGTGGTCAAAAAATTGTCACTGATGGGGTGCACGATCAAAAGTTTGGAGACCACCGAGCTACATGATCAAGAAAGGTGACAGGTAGGAGGCTACACAGAGGCTTATTTTTGTTATCTTTCTTATACATGGTAACCATAGACTAAATATGAAAATAAATCTAACTATGAACTACCATATGAAGTCACCATGCAAATATTTAATCACATATTATAGCTGTATGTTAAAAATCCCGATAAATTTTAATGAAGTGAACTTACCATGCAAGCATGCGTAAGCCTTTGTAAAGCTTTGCTACACTAGGAAAGCATACATTTTCTTTCCTCACACCTTTTTAATAATTTCAGGGGTATAGGCTTAGTCATACAATGTTTTCATAACACAGGGCCATTTTATACAGACAGTATTTCAGAACCTACATGACTACACTCCAGTTACTTTTCCAAAATGGCACTTCAAGTGTCAAAGTAGCAATTCCTAAAGAGACACATGCAATCGGAAGGAAAAAAAAGAAAAAATAAAAACAACAAAACACCTCACACTTACCTGTTCAGGCTTTTACAATCACTTGCCAAATGTAACTCGGTTCCATCAGATCAGCTAGTTTGAATGTAGCTGCAGATCTCAACTAATTCATGTGCTCATAAACAAACTAAAAACCCCACACCCTGACAACTAGTACTTTTACAAAATCCAGTTCTCACCTTGGCTCTGCGATTTATTTATATGGTAAAGCAAACACCACAGTACTTAGAACGAGAAGGCAGTTTGTGAAAAGAAGCTATATGCATAAGTTTCAGAGGTTGCAATGGGAGAGGAAAACACTTGTAAGATTTATTGCCTTTCTGCGAGCTCTCTACTCAGGGACTCGGAGGGAAATTGGGCCCCCACGAGATTGTCAAGGACTTTTCTTTACCTGCAATGATCTCCATAAGCACAGCATCCTCGCTGGTAATACCTGCACACCATGGCAGTCTGACCAGTGGAGAGGTCATGGGAGTAGCGACAGTTGTCTCCTTCCTTGCAAACTCCATGCATGAAATATCTGAAAGACAGAAGAATACTGTGGATTAAGGACAAGCACCAAAGCTGTGAACAAAGTATTTGGATGATACGTTATTTTATAAATTAAGCTATGGTGAATTAAGACCACCACTAACAACTCATGGGTTCACATCCCAGTACAAACATCAAATGAGAACATCTGAGAAAACATGAAGCCTTAGATCTTCCAATGAACTACAATGCACATGTTTACAAATGCTTATGCTCACAAATGACTGAAAAAAGCACAAGGCAAAGCAAACCTTATCCTGGGCTATGACACAGAGAGTAAAGACTCTCGGGCAAAGTAGAATGGGATGAAGTTTTAGCCATAGCTCCTGCATGCCAATAAAATCTTAGAGAACATCAAAAACCTTTGAGAAGCTCACAATCAAACCCAAAAATCATAATCAGGCACACCCTAAACAAGTTTCCCAAGGGCTTAAATATATTTTGAATTTGTAAATAATTCAATCAGAAGTAATTTTCTCTCCAAGAATGCAAAACATGTTTATGGAGGATAATGACATCTGACAAAACATGCACATTAGTTTTTACCATGGGAGCCAAATAATCAGTAGAAGCACCCTGTGCTGTCTGTCTTTTAAGAACCGAGTAGTCTCAAAGCTTTCAGGGTAGTTTACTAAATTTTAGCATATCAAATAAGACAAGTTTAAACAGCTGAATTCAATGTTGGTCAATTAAAGAAACCTGAACAGTAATTTTTCATTTAGTTTAAATTTTAACCTAGAAGACACAAGCTTCCTTAAATTTAAAGCACTAAAACTATTCAGACTCAACACACTCGCATCAGAACCATAACTGAAAAATATAAATTTAAGCACATCTTTCCTAGCCAAGGAAAAAACAACAACAACAACAACAACAACAACAAAAAAACACAAAAAAACCCAACGATGCAAGAACAGAATCCATCAACACATTTACTAAAACTTAGGTTTAGAAAAAGAAGCATTGGCCACAGATACCAAGTTGCAAACTCTGAACTCATTAGAAATATCATGACCTGGCAAGCAAGAAAATTTGTTAAGAGTTTAGGTCTCACAGAAATACTTCACTTGCCCTATAGAACACCACTTGAGGGAAGATTGAGAAGCACATTATACCCTTCTAAACCTATCTTGTTGCTGAAAGGGGCAGTCCAGCCCTCCTCCTGTTACACGCTTTCATCTTTGCCTCAGTGCTAGCACACCTACACAGCCAGAAGAACTAGGTCCTTCAAGCAGCTGACTGTGCAGCCACACAGCCAGCCAGCCAGCACAAAAGACAGAAGGATCATCTTTCAGCAGCCCAAACTAAGATTAGGATAGCACTTCACAGAACAGCACATTCACATCTACATTCCTCAACTTAAAAGGCGTCCACTTGTTGAATTGCATGAACTTCTGCATAGGTAACTCCTCTGATATGTTTTTAAGAAGTCAAAGTCAAGAATTCAACCAAATGACTTAAGTAGATATACATTTGTAATCAAGTACTAGGTATATATTAAAATTAGAGGAGAGTCTTCAGAGGGCTGATAACCCTCCACATACAAAATCAGTGCATTCAAGGTACTAAGAAAAAAAAAATCTGACTGGCTGACACTTGCCATCAGGCTGTAACTCACACTCAAAATAATCACACTGTAGCCACATAGTAACCAGGTAAAAAACGTGGTCCTACATAAAAATACAAGGTATTAGACCAAGATGAAGCTCTGCAGGATATTCTCCCCAGAAAGTACCCTAGTTAGGTTTGCCAGGTGGCTGCAAAAACAACTATGCCTGCACACACCAGGAACAGGGTGTTGCAAAAAACAACAAAAAAACCCCCATGCTTCATACACAGCACTCTCCACTGTGGACAACAACAACAAAAAAATCCCACGAGAAACCCCACCACCCACACACCACCACAACCCATCCACAAAACAACTCACCCTTAAAGGCCAAAAACCCAACAACCCACAAACCTGTGAAACCAGAACATAACTGGAATTTCTGGCCTGCTTTTAAGAAATGGGAGTCACACCAACACAGTAAAAAAATATGTCATGTTGTTAAACCTTTGTTCCTGTTAACGACTGTTATCTCCACCCTCTGCTCATTTCCACACAGCATTGCTTCCCCCATGTGTTGGGGCCTGCAATTTCATAGCCACTTGCTGACTCGGATCAGGAAATGGCTTCAGAAGTAACCTCACATTTCTTTTGCTGCCCCCATGGTTATTTTTAATCTAGATCAGATCCCTGTTCAACCCCACTGCACAGCCACACTGCTGCTTAAGCCAGCAAAGTGTTCGAACAGCACTACAGAAATAAGTAACTAAAAGAAAGGCATCAGCCTGAAGGGAGGACGTCTGCTGGAAAGTACCTGGTCAACGTAACTTATCCTAAATACGTAAGCCTCAAAATCAGGCTGTCCCACTGCTTGTTAGGCAGAAGAAACAGAGCTCCAAGTCCCGTCCCTTCCCTTCCTTCCCACCTTATGTTAGAAAGTCCTCTACAAATATAGATTCTGTATAATTATCAAAGTGTCACAATTCATTACATCTAAATGGTAGGCTATAAAGGGAAAGAAAGCCAAACTTGATACACTCACAAGCTCAATTTAATTCACACACCACTTTTAAAGGCCTGCAATCCTACGCAGTGAACTCAGTATAATCTGAACAAGAAGTCTGGGGTGGGAGGAGAGAAAAATTGTATTTCTCCAAGGATTACGCCTACTTCCCCCATCCACCCCCAGCAAGAGGTAATTTTTTTTTTTTACTTTAAGGTCACAAAGAATTTAACATTCTACATATGAAATTGCTGTTTGACTAAAACATGCTTTAGTAATGTTGTAAAATAAACAGTGCATGATTTTTGGTGAAAAGTAACAAAGTTTGATGGATAGAATGTTTACACACACAGAGAGCGCTTAATTTAACTGTAACTTAACAGCAATGCTAGCCTCTCTTTCTGGTTACAGGAAAAAATACTCCTCAAAAGTGAGAAACATATGTTATCTGCCTCACTCACTAACATGTGGAAGGATATATGAAATTTGCATTCTATCAAGTATCCAGAGAATACATACAATTTCATCTGAAAAAGTAAAACTGGATCAAGACAAGTATGTAACTGGATTTTCTGTAAGTGTCTACCATGCTGTCATCCAAAAAGCACTTATTCTGGCAGCAATCCTCTCTTTCTTCTGTATTGGAATATACTAGCAAAATCTGGTGAGGCTGCATGGGGAACCATATCGCAGAACTAACAGGGGTCCAAACCCGGATGATCTCTCCTGCATGACTATACAAAACCACAAGCAATAACCAACACAGGAAACAACCACACAGAAATAGTAATTGTCTGCACTGGCATTTTATCACTGAAACACATTTCAACTCTCGTCTAGTTACAGATATCTTGATCAAAATAGCATGTCCTAATTTTCAGGAGGTAATGGTCATAGAAATCAGGTCCTCCACATGCAAAAGTCTCAAGCTGTAGACAAAATCTGGTGGGCATTTTTTTGAATCATATAGAGAAGACACTTGCCCAAGGCCATAAAACTAGTAAGGTCTCCAGCTCCCTGGAACTCCAACCACTGGAGAGAGGTCAGATATTACAAGTAAGTGCTACAACTAATTTACCGCAGTAATGGAATTTTCAAGTTTATCCAGGTTTCAACAACCTTGATTTCCATGGTTCTTTAAAGTATAATAATCTACCAAAGATTATTTTTACTGCTGGAATCTAGAGGAAAAGAATCTGCAATGCCTTTATCAAAACACACTGCAGTGTTAAACACATGTAGCTGCAGCCTAAAATCCTGAACATATACCAGCTTTCAGATGCTTCCTTCTATCTATTTTCTTCACATCTGTAATCCTGTTAGTGAAATCACTACACAGTTCTTCTCACTGTAGCTTCTGAAGCTTGCAATGGTTTGCTTATTCAGGTGTGGCTTGCTCTTTACTACAGGTCCACCTAATCCTGCTTTCAGGCAACCTCATTTTGTTTATTAAACTACTGGTTTTGCTGAACTATAATGTCACACCTGGGAACAAACCTTCAAAAAAATTAGGACACTGCCATGACGAGCAGATGGGAAACCTCAGGATAATGGCCAGCTGCAGTCATTAGCTTCTTCAGGTGCCATATAGAGACTAAAAATTTCCAGGGAGGGTAGTGGGAACAAGCCAGGCACACTGTTCTAAACACAGCATGTAGGTGTTCGGTCATGTGAGCAGCTCATGAAATTCTCTGTTAGTAACCTTAAGAAAAGAAAAAAAAAGTAGGCCTTAAATAGCATTTATCTTCTTTCTCCTCTGTAATTTCCTTCAGCAAGAACCTGGTGGGGGATCCAGAACAGAGCAGCTAAAAAGGGGCAATACAAACCAGGCTTTTAAGAAGTTTGCACTCCACATCTTATCACTAGGTGCTGCATGGAACTAAAGAGGCATATTTTATTGATTCAGATTCTTCACACTGTAAGACAGATAAATACCTGATTTGGGTTTTCAGACAGAAAACCACACCAATTAGTGGCAAAGGGGTTTATTTATGTTCAATTAACTACACAAACAAGTTAAATGTAATCTATTTAGGTCAACTCAATGACCTTAACTATTATTGCATGACATCTGAAAAATGCTACAATTTGCTAAGTGTTAGGCCTTCGGAAAAAAAAATGCTGGCCACACCACTGTTCAACAAAACTATATACCCATCCGAAAACTGAAGGTCAGACAAACTTGGTAAGGACCACCATTCTTTTTTCTTATTTCAAACATATCAATAACAAAAGGATCAGAATATTAAATAAAAAGTAGATAAAAATTAAGTTTTATTCCCCTGCAGTTTATTCCAGATTAAAATATTTTAAATTATTACACATGACAAAACCCTTGAAAACTGCTAAACTACAGACGCAATCTAAGAAATGCTTTTTCAGCACCTCTTAAGGAACATGGCGAATTCCTACGTCTCAGCAGACTTCTAAACTTTAACAGCA